TTCAAATACACTGAGATATTATTTATATATTAAATTTTTTTTTTGGCAAACTTGAATCTTTGTGCCTTAAAACAAAAACGGAGTGTCCAAAGAACAGTTTCTTTCCATTGACATCGCTATTATTTGAACTACCTTTACTGCTCGGCAATGTTTATTGCGTTTAAAAAGCAATGATTAGAATTGGAATAAAACCTAAACATATGATGAAAATGAATTCATACATTCTTTTGTTATTGAGAATTTACAACGAAAATATTAAAGTCTATTTATTTATTAGATTATTTATTTATAAGAATAATTTTATTTACAACATGCTAAAAAAACTAATACAATTATAGCAAATGACAAAATGCAATGCAATATTTATCATTTACTAATTTATAAACAAATAAATATGAAAACAAGTTTTTATTCATAAATTTACAGAATTATTAAAATATGTGAACCAACTATAAGGAAATCCTTATTATTTACCATTTTATAAAGTTCAAAATGATTTACAATTAGGTGATGTTTTGCCAAACATTTAAAATAAACAATCTAATAAATAAATAATGTTTAATAATTTTTGTTTTCTCAAGAACAAATAAAATGTATAAATTCACTTTCATATATTTAGGTCTTATTAAAATTCTAATCATAGCTTTTTAAAGCAATAAACATTACTGAGGAGTAAAGGTAGTTAAAATAATAATATTGGTGTCCAGGAAAAAAAGTGTCGTTTTGACACATTTTTGTGGGTATGAATGTCCAAGATTGCCAAAATCTTTTAATGAATGAGTAAAATTTAAAAAGAAACATTTCTGAAAGAGAATTATCATATTAAGTAAAATATGTATTGAATAATATGAACATTATAAAATTACTTTTATGATTTTTGAGTGTTGAAGAAACCCAAATGTAACTAACTGGATATTGGCAAGCGGGATTAGATCGTTACTCTACTAGTAGATGGCAATACATGGAAACAGGTAGCCAGCCATTAATATTAAATTGATTTCTGAGGATCAAATTTTTAGGAGAAAAATAGAACGGTGATAGCTCATCCCCAAGGTCTCAGTTAAAACAGTATGGACATAACCAGAACTAATGCCTATGGATTTAGCTATCTGCTCTGGTATCAGCATTCTTGGGACCCATTTTGCAGACAGAATGCTCATCCCCTAGACCTCAGTTAAAACAGTGTGGACAAAACCAGAACTAATGCCTATGGACTTAGCTATCTTGCTGGATAGTAAAAAATATCACTCATTCAAAACTATACGGTGAATGGCATCAACATTTTCATCAGTGGTTGATGCTTTTGGACAACCTGACCGAGGTTCATATTCTGTGCTGTCCCTGCCCACTTCTTCACAGGTGCATAGATAGGGGAGCCCTTAGCAAGTGTCTGTATCATGTCCCCATAGATTTTCTTGGTAGTAATACCTTTCTTTTACAGATAGTTTATGACTGCTTGATAGATTTATTGCACACCTCCTGTTTTGTATGTGCCTCACCTGCACAGAAATTAAGACAGAAATCTGAATTAGTTTTTGTAGTTTTATAAGAAGTCATATGTTGCCACAACAAAAAATCTTCATCTATGGCTATCTTTCTGTGTATATAGTGAGACACAACTTTACAAAAAGTAACACATGCCCACACTATAGTTGCATGCTTAGTATTTGTGCAAACTTAACCTTTTTACATGAATATTTTTGAATCATTTCAGGAAACAATTGGCTTCATTTTCCTGTGGGATGACAGGGATACAATGTTTTGACTTTTTGCAGACCTGTTAAAAAATGATTGTCCATTAAATAGAGTCCTTTGTTGCATCTATGGCATTCTGGGCTGTAAATGATTTGTATGTTTCCTTTGAAGCAGGAAGAATTTGTTTGGTTCTTGGAGGTTAAATTGCTCTTTTCATATTCAGGAAACCAATCTGGAAGTGAATTTAACATTAATTGATACAGACTTTATTATGTGTGCACACAAGGTGCACTAAATTATTTTTGTGTTCAGTTGTGTCATTTGGTCTCACCACCCTGCTAATATAGAACCTTCTTGCAATGTTATGGATATATTGTATTTTAGTTAGAGGATATATAATGGCGTAGCAACATTACTTTAAATGGTGCAATCAACTATTTTCCTGGCCATTCATCTCCAACATTGTCACAAAAATATATGGTAATCTTGCAAAGTGATGTAGCTGAAAAATTCCGCACTGGTCAATTATAATGTGGTAACTACCACCACCATTACGTACACACAGTACATAGAAATCATGCAACAAGCATTCATTGGTTGATCTCCTCAAAACTAGCTTGCTGATTGGTCAATTCCGACCAATCAGATATACTACACGCAAGAATGAAATTTCCTGCTCACTAAGGTTGAGTCGATCATGTGATATATATATATATATATATATATATATATATATATATATATATATATATAAATAAAACATGAATAAGCTCCCTTGTGTATCTCTTCATTCATCTCTCTCCTAGATGCCAGGATGTAACCTTCAAGAGCTCCCGTCTTAACCTTGCGGTCAGGTGTTAAAGACCATTACCAAATTTCACGCAAGTACGAACTCTTAACTCTTCAGTCTCTCTTGCATCTTAATCCTTGCTGCCAAAATGTAACCTTCAAGAACTCTCCTCTTAACCTTGCGGTCAGACGTTAAAGAATATTACCATTTTATGCAAGTACAAACTCTAAAATCTCTTCTGAACTCTTAGCAAATTTACCAACCCACAATTCCTAACATGCAACAGGAACTTATTCTTCTAAACTACAGTTATAATAATTACTTCATCGTTATGAGCTCAGGTACAAATATTTCCAAGTCTAAGAGACATAACTCTATCAAACTTTTAGCTTATGTACATGTACACGAAGACCAATAAATTCAATTATGCTTTGAATCATTACATTCTGTTTTGTATTTTATACTATGTGCTATTTTACATCAAATATAAATTGCATTGTGCATGCCACATTGGATAGAAACCTCCAGCGCCTTTGCTTTCCTTAATCCCGCCTTTCCTAGTCAAAATGTAAAAATATGTAACATCACTCCTACATAATGGTAACCCCTACATAATGATGACCATGACGTTTAGGAAAGGCCACTACAATAACATCAGAATACTTTTTCTTCACTGAACTACATGAATAAAGAAAAACAAGATGAAAATTTATCTTAGCCGATGTGTTTTGTCATTTGTAGGACTTTATCAAGGCAAATGCAAAGATTTTATTTTATAACAAGTACTTATATGCAATAGCAAAAAATGTCATTGGTTTTTCCAAAATTTTTGAATTTATGAAAATTCATAAATATTCATCAGGTTAGCTAAAACGTCAGGCAATTTATGGGAGACAAGAAGTGATAAAATTTAATGTCTCATAAGTGAAAATGAGTAAGTAATGTTTTAGAAATTTTTTGTGCAAATTAGTATTTAAATTAATTTATGTTATATATTTTGAATCATAGGTTTAAATATTTTCTTTTAAATTTTTATCATTTTTGTAGTATTGGCTCGGGAAAGTAGAAATTCTTTCAGGAATGGAGACATTGGAAAAAAACTGGAGGCACAGATTTATCTATATCTATAATTCTTAAAATTGTGTGTGTATGTATGTGTGTGGTCGAATGTTTATGCATTTCCACAGTTTTCATCCGATTTTGATGAAATATTTTTTGTTTGATAGATAATTCTTCAGTGCTGGTTTTAAGTCCAAATTGTTGGTGACAATGGGCTATCAGTTCCTAGGAACTGAGCTGCTTGACCCTCATACATCGAATACGACGGGAAAGTCCACCATATATATGGTGCAGCAGAAATACTTCTCAGGTAATGGTAAATGGTGTCTTCATCTAGCAATCCTACCATTATGTAGAAGGTATTTCTGCCACACACTAACTTCTTTTAGTGGTACTTATATGAAAAATATCCAGTATCTACCATTAAACATTTTTTATGATTTTTGTTTTATTCACATATAATCTTTTACCTTTTATTCACATTTGCAAAGTACTAGAGGCTCTAATCAACTCTGTATTAGTTGGACATCTCATTTCACATGGCTTCTAAACAGATAAACAATATGGCATTTTTTTCTCTAAGTTAACCACTGATATGTTAACAATAATTACTGAATTTGTCTCTTGGGCTTTATATAAGAATGACAAGTCTCAGGCTGTGGCTTTAAATATTGTGATGGCATTTGACAGGTTTTGGCATGCCGGCCTTCCCCACAAACTCAAGAACTACGGTGTCACTGGTTAGTCATTTGACTTAATCCAACCATTCTTAACAAAGCGGGTAATGAAGGTAGTGTTTAATGGCCATGCTTCTAGATGATTTTACGTTAATGCGATGTGTTCCCCAGTGCTCTCTCCTTGGGCTGACATTGTTTTTTATCTTCGTTAATAACCTTACCAATGTCAGGTACATATATTAGCAATCTACTAGCACAGGGTGATTTGGTTTGGCAAGGAGTTATAAGTTATTTATAAAGTTGCTAAAGGTGATGTTCAGTCTTCAAGTTGAAACAGCTATAATGATGATGATGATATATCATTGTAGCTATAAAATGTAAATATTTTTGCTTTGTCTACCATTCAAATTTAAATTTCAGCATCAATTCTTGATAGTCTAATGGGTTTTCTAAAAATTTTATTTTTTGTATAATAAAATTGTTTCATCTAATTATTGAATTGATTTGTTCATTTTTTTTACAGTTTATCAACCCTTTGCAGATTATTTAAAGCCAGAAAATATTTTTAGATTGTAAAATTTTTTTCTGGGGCAAGGGTAATAATGGTTTAGTGATACAAATCTTACTAATTAACCCATAGCTGTGAGGAGAAGAAGTGGATTCATAACATTCCAAAGGGTATTTGTGCATAAGTGAATATGAACCCAATGAGAACTGAAACTTGGCTCTCCAATTAACAATTCTGAACAGTTATCCATTACACCACGCACACATCCAAGCTTACAGCGCCAGTATTCCCAAATGGTCACACATCTAGGTACTGACCAGCCTCAACATTGCTTAACTTCAGTGATCATATGAGATCCAGTGTTTGCATACTAAAATAAAATACATAATTTACTGTAAAGTTGTCTTTTTTTTTCAGAAAAATAATAATTACTTCATCTTTATGAGCTCAGGTACAAATATTTCCAAATCTAAGAGACATAACTCTATCAAACCTTTAGCTTATGTACATGTACACTAAGACCAACAAATTCAATTATGCTTTGAATCATTACATTCTGTTTTGTATTTTATACTATGTGCTATTTTACGTCAGATATAAATTGCATTGTGCACGCCATATTGGATAGTAACCTAATCAATTTAATGATCAGGGTTTCTTAGGAATCTTGTCTCCAACGCATCTATGAAACAATTTAATGACTGGGATTTTCAGGAATCCTGTCTCCAGCCTTCCTTTGAATTGGCAAACATGAAATTTTATTAGTGATTTTACATAATCATAAAAGTAGAATCCTTTAAAAAAACTCACCACCCAAAAGATGAATGGGTGGTCCCCTTTTCTGGAACATAAGTGGATGAATAGGGGTGGTGGCCTCTCCAGCCAATATCTGTATAATGAGCAGTGAGTGAATCTGTCAGTGAGGAAAAGACCAGCAATGAGTAAGTCAGCAGTCACTGAGATGGTCAAGCTGTGAGTGTAAGGGTCCTAGTGAGATAGCCAGAGTTCACCTTCTTGAAGCCAAAGGAAGACATTGCCAATTAAGTGAGAAATCATGGCTTGAAAAGCATTTGTTGTTATTCTTTGTTAATGTTGATCAGGGCCATAATATTGAAACAAACCTGTGAACATAGCTTATGATGGTGTGTATTCACATACAGCTGATGTTGGATGTCATCACAGCTTGTGCAGTGACATGCAGAAATGCATCATCACATATAGAAAAATATTTTCACTTGATGTTTAATCCTTGCTATTAAGCTAAAAGAAATTACTTTGATAACAAGCCAAAGTCCAATAATGATAATGCAATAGATGAAAAAAAACTCACATGTATTTTAATTTGAAATATTTTTCAACAGTATCAGGTAAAACGTTTGCTATTTTCTGGAGGCTGACAAGAAGCTATTATTTTAAGGGCTGATTTTAGAGGCTGACAAGTAGCTATTATTTTAAGGGCTGATTTTAGAGGCTGACAGGAAGCTATTATTTTAAGGGCTGATTTTAGAGGCTGACAGGAAGCTATTATTTTAAAGGATGATCTCAGAGGCTGACAGGAAGCTAATATTTTAGAGAGGCTACCAGGAAGCTAATTTAGAAAGGCTGTCTGAAAGTATTCTTTTAGAGGTTGACAGCAAGCTATTATTTTAGAGAATGATCTTAGAGGCTTACAAGAAGCTAATATTTTAGAGAGGCTATCAGGAAGCTATTATATTCTTGGAGAAATATGTATTATCTATAACTGAAAATTTCTTACAACAAATGGCATTGAGTGAAGAATGAATCTGCTTTAACGTTTTCATCACAACAAGAATACAAAAGAGGGGTTCATATGTCAGAAGATTTTTGTCAAATTATTACCATTTTAATTTCTGTTAGGTTTTCTTTTATAAATTGCAAAGCTGTAGCAAAAACTGCAAAGAGAAGTGAAACAAACAATCTACTTCTTAAGGGATATGATAAAAAAAGAATGGTCCCATGAAATATGTAAGAAAAAAAGGAAACAGGCTAAAACAGATATATTTTTAAAAAATTTTTATAATGAGATAATTTTATGGTGATTTTCTAAGCATAACTTAGATGTGACACAAGGCCAAAATTATGGGGCACCCAGTGAGGATCAAACTCATTATTCAGTTGTAATTGATGTAGTGAGACAAGCATGCTAATGGTTACACCACCTTGAAGTGGCCAAGTGATTTACTAAGCGCAGCTTACTTGTAGCACAAGATCGAAATTATGGGGCACCTAGTGAGGATCAGACTCATTATTAAGTCATAAATGATCTAGCAAGACAAGCTTGGTAATTATTACGTCATGTTAAAGTGCCCAAATCATTTTCTAAGTGTAGATTAGATGTGGCACAAGGCCAAAAGTGCAGAGCACCCAATGAGGATTGATCTTACTACTCAGACATGATTGAGCTAGCGTGACAAGTTTACTAAACATTACATTATGTTGAATTGCCCAGTGAGACAATTTTATGTGTATTTCCCCCCCTCCCCATTTTTTCCTCCCCAACAAGACAGAATGTAAAGTAGATAAATTAAGATAATTAAGGTACTGTGAAGTGATAGTACCAACAGGAGATTTGGTAGTCAAATTGAGTTTGAGCAATCGTAAGGATGAATAAGTACACAAGGAGAATCTTAATTGGCTGGTGCAGCACAGTATAATGTTCAAATTAATTGTCACATTGAACATATAGTGATGTTCATGAGAAATAAAAAATAAAAAAATCTAATTCCTTGCTGGAATTTGAACTCAGCTCTCTGACTAACAATTCTTTGACATTATCCATTACACCATCTGCACATCCAAACTTACAGCATCTGGTATTCCTAAGAAGTCACCTGACTAGGTACTGACCAAACTTGACACGGCTTAACAAGTGGTCATACAGAAATCGGCATTTCAACATGATGTGGCCATAAGCCAATATGAAAACAGAACAAAAAATACAAAATAGACAAATCACAATGTTTAACTTTATTTCTTGAAAAGATCAAAGAAAATCAATTTCTGTTCATCTTCTCATTCTTTCATTGTTTTTTATTTGGATTGCAAAAAAAAATGAATTTATTAAAAAATTTGCAACAGTAAATTTAATTCTATAATTATAAGTTACTTTTCTATTTTCTCTTTTGTTTTTGTTTTTTTTGCTCAAGAGAAACAAAATCAAACAAAAGTTTAATTTCCATATTTGTTTGGGAAAATATATAAAACATCAAAACCTTCCAGTTTCATTACTATGCTTCTTTTGCTTGTGTTTTTTCAAAGTTGTACCCCGAGAAAATGCAGATCCACAAACATCACATGAATATGGCTTCTCTCCTGTGTGTGTTAGGTAGTGTTTATTCAAATAAGAGTTGTCTGAACAGGCATAGCCACAAATATCACAAGAATATGGTTTCTCTCCAGTATGTGTTTGTATATGTCTTTTTAAAGTTGACCTCCGAGAAAATGCTGATTTACAAACTTCACATGAATATGGTTTCTCTCCTGTGTGTGTAAGCCAGTGTCTTTTTAATGATGAACTTAATGAATATGCACATCCACAAATATCACAGGAGTATGGTTTCTCACCTGTATGTATTTGCATGTGTGTTTTTAAATTTGATTTTTGGGAGGATGTATATCCACAAATGTCACAAAAATATGGCTTCTCACCTGTATGTATTAATTTGTGCTTTTTTAAGGCTGAGACATCAGAAGATGCATATCCACAAACATCACAAGAATATGGTTTCTCACCTGTGTGTGTTTGTATGTGCCGCTGTAAATGAGAACTTCGTGAAAATACAGATCGACAAACCTCACAGCTGTAGGACTTTGTTTCATTTTCTTGATTCATTTCTGTGACCATTTGGTCCTACATATACGTCACAACGTTCTTGTAGTTAAAGAGGCACTTCAGGCAAGTATGTAATTTCTGGTAAATTAAAATCTGAAAATAAAATCAGAGTATACAATGAAATGTCTATCTGAATGACTTTATTTTGAAAGTTATTAGATTATATATAATAAGGCTACATACTAATGAACATTAGAAAATCTTGATAATTTATGATCAAAATATTTTTAACCAATTCAATTATTTCTCAGCCACCAAATTAACGGGAAGTTCCAAGCAGCGGCAGCAGCAAGCTTGTCTCTTTTTCTTCCAACTTGCATTTGCCCAATGAACCAAATATAAGCTGCTTAAAATTAATCTTTCTCACTTCTGATGTCTGGGGAACCTTTGTCACTTCAACTTCTGCAGGCTGTAATTAATTTCTACTGAATTTTCATTGATCAGGAATCTGTAAACATTAACACCGATATTGTATTTTTGTCTTGGGAAAATATTACTTGAAAGCTAAAATCAATATTATAAAAAAAGCAGATTTATATGTCTATCATGCATTATCTGTATACAAATTTGTATGCATCATATATGTAATATATGATGCATATGCAAATGTTAATGTTGTGCATGAATGTTATATAGGAATAAAGTGTTGCTGCCGACATTTGAGTTTGAACATAGATCCCTAGTGAAAAAACACAGGCAATCCCATTATTGAATTATGGAGATCACATGCCCTTAGAGAAAAACACATAAAAAGAAAGTAGTGTGACATCTAATTGATCACCTTTTGTAGTTTATCTTCAATTACTATACTGTTCCCTATTCTCTGTACTATTCCTCTATTCAGATCACTATACAGATTACTATTCAAGTGAGTATTATTAACCAAGTACTATTAGTGCGAGTGATATTTGAAAGCATCTGACACCAGCATTGTTCAATGGCATACTATAGTTTTATCTACGATTACAAAGTCTCTATTACAATGAGCATTATGAAAGTGACAAAGAGTGTTTGACATTACAAAAATGAGTGACTTATGTGCTTGGTCCATGTAGACACAATTTGGCTGTTTTTAAATATGGCATTGAAACATTCTTCTCCCACTCAGTTTGAACAACTTTTATCATGGGCTGAGCAATAAAATCATAAATTTAGAGACAAGAAAGGAAGGCAATCTGTAAAAACCTAGAAAAAAAAATGTTTGAAAATATTTATATTGATTCTGTCATTTGAAATTTGTATTTTAAAACTTATTCATAAGAACTAAATTTTATTAAATAGTATTGTTAATTAATTAAGTTATTTCCAGTCCTCAACCTTAGTCGTTGTTTCCAAGCCGTAGCAGGTTTGTCCCTCTTCCTTTAAAATTGCATTTGCCCAATGAACCAAATATAAGCTGGTTAAAATTTCTCTTTTTTCACTTGAAATTCTGATACCTGGAAAATCTTTGCCACTTTAACTTCTCTGGAAAGTCTATACGACTTCAACTTCTGTGGATGTTTCCATAATCAGACTGGA